ATATTTACATAAGTAACAACAAAGACTATACAATACATTTTTGTACATTTCATATCATATCTCTGCTCATATCTCCTAAACTAAAACTATCTTGAAAATTAGATTCGCTAAAGCTCTGGAAAATGTTCTACTAGATGTGTACATTTATTTTATTCAAAGCGTTCATGAGTCCCCATTGTAAATACACACAATACAAACAAATAACAACTTGAAATTTTAAAGTTTAAAACCAAAATCGACCTATTAGGGCCGGATCAACCCTCAACCGGGCCCTGGGAAACCATCAATCTGGGACCCTCCATTTTTTCACGCCAGTTCCTTCTTTTTTCATTTGAAATATGTGTTCGATTAATTTGTTTGATGAGGTCCACGACCCGAACGTCTCAGGTCAACACCCGAACGTCTCAGGTCCACCAGCCCATGATGCAATTATATAAGGTGGTCTCGACGGCAGCAGCAGGCCCATAACCATACTTACAATAAGTGCGAGTGAAAGGGCTCAGCGCAGTAAGTGTGAGTGAAACAACAATAGAGCGTGTGGATTAACCCTCTGATGGTCCATGGGGTTTAAAGTTGCCGGTTATAATAAAAGGAGTTGATGTGTTTTTTATAATTTAATTTTTAATAGTTTTGAATTTGAAATTAAGCGTTGTTTTTGTTTTTGAATAGATATTTTTTTGTTGGGACTCTTAATTCTAAAATAAATTATAATCTTAAAATAAAATAGAGCTCTGGGTTCTCTTCCGGAACAGCATCATCATTCAGGCGCCTTCTTTTAAAGACTTGGCCTTTTTTTGGAGCTGACTTCCACTCCGAAGCTTTAAAAAGGCTTTCGCAAATTTTGGAGTTCTCTCCCAGGCTGCAGCCTAGGGATTTCTCCCACAATTCTCTTCTCACAACACATTTTGGTGCCTTCATCAATTTTACACCGAGCACGTGCTTGCGGCAATATGTCATTTTTTTTCACAAGGGTTAAGGTTTCCGCAAAAATTTGTCTGTACCCAACCTTTCACTACAACAAGCGAGCGCGCACTGAACGTTAAGGTCCTCAAACCCGAACGATTCGGCAGCTGACGAGACCACCTTATATAATTGCATCATGAGGGGTAGTGATCATGTGAGGGTGAGGGTGGTGCTTGCTGACTCCTTGGCGAGTCTGCCGACTCCCAGTGGGGTCGCCGAAACGGTGGCCGGTGCGGGTCGCCGTTCCTTGGCTCTGTGGCCGGCCTTGGGTATCTTGGGCTGCTTCGCGGGGGTGCGAAAGTGGTCGGGATGGTCCGCTCTTGGATGCTCTCGAGCTCGGTGGCCAGCATTGTGAGCTGCGCTAAGCTTTGCAGTTCGTGTCGCCGCACATACATCTGGTATGCTGGCAGGGCGTTGTCGTAGATCCCGTTCAACTCCTTGGCTGCGTCGTACCCGTCATGGTGCATGAGTAGCCGTTTCTCGATTAGGTAATCTTTGAACAATTTCCCTATCGCTTGCTTGCGGGCCCGGATTCGGTCTTCCAAATGTTCAAAATACCGTGGCGGCAAGAAGAACGTCAATAATTCTTTTCGGAAATATGCCCATGAGCTGCCTTGCAGTTGGCTGGTGCGGTACCAGTGACTGGCCCGATCGGTGAGAAGCTCTTTCATGGCCCGCGGAAGCTGATTTGTGTCCACCCTATATGAGAGCGCACGTTCTTCTAGTAGTTCCAGAAATGCAAGTGGGTCGTCTTGTCCGTCGAACCTGATTCCCCATTTCCGAATCTGTTCCGCGATGTGGGTGGTGTGGCTGTGGTGGCGTCCATCTATGGACGGGTCCATGGCTGGCACGATCCTCTGAGTGGGCGAGCGGCTGGTCTCCATAACTGGAGGTCTGGGCAAATCGGCTGGCGTTACGATGCGTGGTGGGCCGGGTGTGCTGTATTCGGCCGCGGTGGGCACTAGTAACCCGGCTTTTGGGTCTGTTTTCCGCTAGTCAGATGTCCCAGGAGTGGTGGGTATGGGTGACCTGGAGCGTCCTGCTGGTTTGGCGTATTGCCGTGCAAGGTCTCCTAGTCGAACCCAGGCATCCTGCGAGAGTGTTCTGGCGACTAATGCTGCGAATCTCTTTCGTCGTTCCTCGACTGTTCCTTCGTTGCCAAATCCGAATTCCTCGGTAAGGACTTCCAGCTCGTCCCGACGGAGTTTGTGGATCCAGCTGGTATTGGTATGGTGTCCCTCAGGGAAAAATGCGTCGTGTTGACCGTCTCCGTGGGCTTCCATGGTGTGTTTCGGTGGTTAGTGGAACTGACTTACGTCTTGTTTGTGGTACTTCTGTACTGTAGCACTTTCGTTCGACACTTGTAGGTTCGGCACAGCGGCACTACTTGTTCGCGACCGGATTTTGCGGGGGCGCGGGTTTGTGCTTGACGGGTATTTGTCCTCGCTAGCCTAGTCTCTTTCGGTGGCCGTGTGTCTTTACTCCACAAAGCTCGGTATTAAGGTGTTCTCATAGTTTCCTTAAAGTCGCCTTAAATTTACCAAAAGTCCCTGCTCGGGCGCCACTTGTAAGATACCTATTTCAGGCTGGGGTATGCATCACCCTGGCCAGGGTCCTCTACAAGAAATTTGTAGATCTACTGGAACTTAAGGTTCGGGGGTGGCCTTGAAATGTCCAAAAGAGCAGCAGGCAAGGTGGGAGAATTGATGACGCAATAATTTCTGTTGGTTTTGGTCATTATTAAATGCTTTTATTCGTTTTACTTGTGTACAATTCGAGACCTGCTGGTCTTGCTAGAATTTCTGTTGGCTGGTGGACTGTCGGGCTGATGGACTGCCTAGTGCAGTGTCTTGGGTTTGGGCTGATGGACTGCCTAGGGTTCGGGCTGATGGACTGCCTGCTTCTTCGGCCGATCTTGGCCCTTTTATGCAGCTGGCAATCGCACCTGTCTTTGACCCGGAAATAATTAATTATTGCTAACTTATGATTATTGAGTGACAATAATTGTGGTAAGTGGGTCGAAGCTGGGTGCTTCGTTGACAATTGTTAACGGGTCAGTGTGGTTTTGCTGAGACTGCATCGCGGAAGGTGCGGGCTGCAGTTGGGAATTGAGTTTAGAATTGGTTTTGCTAACTCCGCACCGCGGAGTTCTGAATATCTGAATTTGGGTCGATAATTTAAGGCCGAGTGGTTGCGAAATATCGTAAAGAAGTGAGTGAATGAGATTTTAGTGCTGTCTTTGCTGAATGCGAAATATTGCAAGAGGTGGGTTGTTTTAATTTGAGGTGTAGACAAGAATGGGTAGAGTTGTTGATCGAGAGTTCTTAATTTTAGTAATTGCGTGCGTTGCTTAAGACTATTTTATTTTCCGGATGTGCTGACACACCGCTATTTGTGGAGAACCGTGGTTAGAGCCATGGTTCGTTGGCTCTGTGTATATCAGTTTGATTACTGTCTCCGACCAGCGTGGATGCCCACTGGTCCGTTGCATAGACAGTTATAGAGAAAAACGTATTTTCCAAACCATCTAGTTTTTGGGTTGTTTTTCAACTATGACTTGAATTTAAAGAGTGTCGAAATTGGCAAACAAATGCGGACTAAGTCTTAAATGGAACTAGTACTGTAAGAAGTAGAAGATTCCGACACTGTTTCCCCCAACACTCTGGTCTTGGTCAAATTCTCGATAGGAAACTCGATTGGAAATTGAGCATCGAAAACATTGTACGGAAGGTCACAGTCGTCCTTTAAGCCTAGTACTCAGATCCAAAAATTGTTTGCCAGCAAACAAATGTCATATACTTTTCGAGCGGCCAGTGTGTGACCAGAGGTGTGCACTCCATTCCGAACGGTTACACTGCTCAGACCGCTGCTTGGTTTTGTTTTAAGTTAATAAAATGCACTTCTTCGGCTGAGGCTGCTCTTCCCCAGGCATATCCTCGGCTTCCCAACATTTTATTGGCATGGTACTGTGTCTGACTATCAGCAGCAGCAGATGGCGACGCCTCCCGTGCTGGACACCGTGAATACAAAATGTTTTGAAAACAATATTTGTTATGAAAATTTTATGAAAATTAATAAAAATAATAAATTATAGTATCCATATAATTGTCATTCATATAACACTGCATTAATTAGATTATATTTGTCTTCATTATTAAAATATTTCATTTGGTTGTGTGTACTCTTATTGCAATGTTTGCTTCGTGCTTGCTGGCAAAATATATCAAATTGATATAATTTTCGAGGTGGGTCTAAACATACCAAAAAAACAAGCAAATACTTCGGATACTTTTCCAGTATATGCCGACCTTTTTTTTGTTGCCGTAAAAAATTTCTTATCGGTTTCATTGGAATATCAACCCTGATTCTGTTCGCGAGGTGTTCTAGGCTTTAGTTCTGAGTACTAGGGTTTACACCTGTCATTGGATTAAAATGGAAAATGTAACTGTTGATAGTCGGATGGCATTGGATGGAGCATCCAATTATGCTTTTCAGAGTGGTAGTATGGTGGACTGCTCTTGACAAAGAAGCTCAGCTGAGTTCAGCGCATGGCAGATCTGTGTATTACTGGTGGTCTCCGCACAATCCCTGGCGACGCCCTGGACGCTATGCTGCACCTTCTTTCCTTAGATATCATAGGATGTTGCTCGCGCTCTCGCTCTCACGCCTATGCTCGTTCTCTCTCTCTCACGTTCGTTCTCACGCCTACACTAGCTTGCGCTCCCGCTCTCTCGGCTTGACGTAGGCTGGGTTCCAGCAGAAACTCACGTTTCCACCACCGTTACAGCCGGTACTTCTATTACATATTACTAAATCAACCAATATAACTGCGTAACGGCGTAGCGAAATTTGGAAATACGCGTATAAGTTTGGTCAGTTAAGGAATTGAATTCAGTTCGCGAATAAATAAATAAATTAAAACTGATAACCGGATTGCTTAGTGTCGAGGCACGAATGCCTTAAATGTTACGACATGTTTTGCTGTGCAAATATGGGTGATAGATTCGCATCTTTAGCATCTTTATTGATCAACTTACTCTGGATCGCACTTAATGTAATGTTCATTCGCATCACGCCCACAATGGCCATTAATTGAGCCCTTAGAATTAAATTGTTCATAGCACTGCCGATCTGCTGCGGATCCCCCATATCCCCAAATTGCTTCACATTGCAGGCTAAGTGTAGGGCAGTAGCCCTGGAAACAGTAGCCTGAAACATATGAAAACGGTTTTAGACTTAGAGCTTGTTTCATGATACAAAAAATTAGACTGTCAAGATTTACGCACCAGAGACGCCAGCTTTGCTGAGACCACATGGAGAGCCATTTTTCTTGTAGACATCAGAAGGACATTGACCGACTTCACCATCGCAATATTCTGGAAGATCACACTCATTGTTTGAGTCCCGGCAAATGTAATCCTTAGGACGTAACTGCATACATGTAATACAATTACATATAAACAATATATTGAATTAGCATATTATGTAGGGAGGACATAGTACATACGCGGCATTGTTCACAGCATGCGCCGCTAGCGCATTGCGCCTCAGATTTAAGCTTGCATGTTATTCCGTCGCAGCAGGGATCCAGGGCACACTCTTCAAAGGTACCACAATCACATTCCTCATCTTCCTCGACTACTTTATTACCGCAGTTTCGACGCAGTTCGATCTATTAAGTGAGAATAGTTGAAAAGAGCTGCATTAATAACTTTCTGGCTGTCATGCTACGGTTCCAGAAACACCCAATCAATTTACTGGGTCAAAGTGCCACAATTTATCAGTTGGTTTTCCGCTCACCTCATTGGGCTTGTTGAGCAAACACAGTCCATGTCCCGTCCGCAAAGCGTCAATGTAATCTTTCTTACTGCATTCCGAAAATTTATACGGTTGGACATTCTCCTGTCCGACGATCGACTGTGCCATTATGCAACCATGCCAGTCGCGGCAAAAACATTCTTCACCTGAAGACAGTTAATAAATCTTTATTTTTAATTGTGCTAAAATAGAAAAAGACGCTTCTTACGTCCGTCGTCGTGGCCCATGCCAATGTTATGGCCAATCATGTGAGCCATGGTACCAGCGAGGAGGTGTGGTTCATACACGTTGACATCGACGCTGATGCCTACAGCTCGAGGTGTACAGACAGTTTCAGGAACGGCCATCCCAGCCTCTCCGCCGGAAAATGTTTCACCACTAATGGACGGAAATTAAATAATATAAGATAATATTACATTCTTTAAGAATACTCAGAGAAGACAGGAAACTCTTACGTTAGTAACTGAGTAGTGTCTCGCTCGATTTGGAACAGATTTCTTGACGTGTAATCATTAAAGTTAGATATTGCCTTGCCAATGTCCTTGCTTCCATCGATGACAGCCTGATTTTTTCCCCATGTCTCAATATAAACCACCGACACACGAGTATTCAGTGTGCGAAAGTACTGGTAATTTTTAATTTAATTAAAGAGATTCAGATCCTCGATTAAAGATTATAATATTTACCAGATCAGCTATATTGGCAACCTGTATTGCGTCGTGAATAACTTCGGCCCGCGTGCTGCCGTTGCGTTTATCAAACATTGCTTTGTCAACGATTATTGCTGTTTCAATGTATTTGGTGGCCTCCCGCACATCCCTCTTACTGCGCGCTGAGTGGTTTGGAAGAATTTCGTCCACCACATCCGCCACTCCTACTGACAGGTGTTTGGTGCGACGAGACAATCGCCATGAGTCCAGGTTACCTGAATTTGCGCATCCTTTGTTTGCTTTCGTACGCGCTTCGAAAATTACATGCGGATGTTTCTGGCAGTGGTGATCGAAAAAAAGGTTAAAATGTGCGATAATTTCAATTTCAAATTACAGTTACTAAAATCTGTAGACTTTCCTAAATTTTAATCTTCAATGTATATATATATTAGTAGGTATCTATATAAATGGAAAGAAAAAAATGTTTAGCTGAGAACGGCTGGGCCGATTTGGCGAAGTACGCGTAGAGGCAATTGTCAAAGTCGGAAATCAGTTCAAAGATCGACGAGATATTATTATCCATCGACGGAACATTCAATTGCGTTATTTGATTGACTTATTCCTGCTATAAGACGATTGAACCTATTTTCAGCGCAGGACACACTGATGGACAGGACCGAACAAGAGTTGATCAGCATACCCCAGAGATTGCCAAAACAGCAGAGCACTAGGACCTGACGGAATTCCCAATCGGGCTTTCAAGTTGGCCATAAGCTTTCATCCAGAAACCTTTGCCTCAGGCTTATACCAAGTGTCTCACGGACGGTTGCTTTCCTGGGAGATGGAAACAGCAAAAGTTGGTGCTGATCCCAAAACCACGGAACATGCCATCCATCGGCATACAGGCCCATCTGAAATGCTAACCAAAGCAATAGAGTACGGCTTCCGGAAGGCTCGCTTAACCCTAGATGCACAGGATAAGGTGTGTAGCATAGCCAGGAAGGCTATAGAAGGCAAGCGATGGCTCGGTGGGGCCAAAAAATACACTGGACATAAAAAATGCGTTAAATTCCGCGCTTTGGAGCAGAATACTGTCGTCCCTTAGGAGACTCGGCATTTCAGGTGGTCAGCGACCACCGTGTCGTGGTCACGGTCGTCAGGAAGCCCATCCAAGAGACAGAAAATACGATGAACGAAGCTATCAAAACAATAAGTGGTAAACCGGGCAGGACTTGAACTTACCGAGCAGAAGACGGAAGTGGTCCTAATCAGCAGCAGGAAGCAGGTAAAGACCCGTAGGAAGAGCTATACGGTACCTGGGAGTTATGCTTCACACGTGGCTATCATTCAGATAGCATTTTCACGAGACACACTGAAAGGTACACGGCGTCGTTATGGTGGTAACTCGAATGATGCTGAACAATAGAGGTCCGAATTCGACAAGCAGGAGACTTCTCTTCAATGTTTCAAAATCAACGATGGAAGCCAGTGACAGCTTTAAGGAGAGGAAGGTCGCCAAAACACAACAAGACGTCAGAGCTACCAGAATCAGGGCGAGGTCCATATTCCTGGAGAGCTGGCAGCAGAGATGAGATAGCGCGGAAACTGGCCGTTGGACACACTGACTTATCCCCAACATAAGCGCATGGATGAATCGGCGGCTTGGTGTACCTGCATCGCTTTGGACACGAGAAAGACAAGCTATGCTCCAGCTTTGGAGTAGTAACGAACGCGGAGCACGCCCTGACCATATGCGTCAAATTCTCGGAGGGACGGGGACGGGCAGAAGGAATCTTAGGGGTGCCCATCACAGCGGAAGGCCTGGTGGCAAGTATGCTGGAAAGCGAAACGAGCGGCCGTAACAGGCAAGCCAGCCTTGTGAATCAATGCTTCACGGCAGTTCCGCAAGTTTACATAACATAATATATTTTTATCCTTTATTTTATATTTTTATACTATAAATTTGTATATCGTTAGTTTTTAAATTATTAATTAAACTGTAGTATGCACACATAGCCAATACCCTCTGTACCAAGTGTACTTAAGGGGAACACACTGTAACACTTTGTTGCAGTGTTTATGTAATTAAAAGTCCCAGACATAACTTGAGCTATCGTATTACGATCGCCCAAGAATGTCTCGAGCGACATAAGTGCAGCGTCAACATATTCCCATGACTTGACGGCACCTGCATACACACATGCATATACATCTTCCCTCGCGACCTCGCTGTCAGCAGCGCTGGGCATATACACATACATATATACATAAACATATATTGCGGCCGCTCCACTGCCGGCGTTTCTGGCAGCGCAGCTGCGCGGCTTTAGCCAAGTAGATCCTAAGATATATTTCATTTATACATTCAATAAACGAGATTCAAAACAGACGGATGTCTGACTCCTTATCTTTAACCCCCGATCAAAGAACCTTTCAAATACAAAACCTTAGACGACATACACGACATGCAATAAGTAGTCAGAATGTCGATTATAATCTAACTTAAGTGAAACGTGCGGAAGAAAATGAAAGAAGACATGCACATATTGCACAGCTCACAGCACTGCCCACCTCAAATTTGACAAATTGTTACTGGAAGAAGACCAGTCGCAAATGTATAATTGAATCGCGCTGCTTTCGAATACTATTTCGCAATGGACTACAAAGATCTTCGCTGCGTTGATGTCGGTTCTTTTCTGTCGTATTCCAGCATTTCAATGCATTGAAGTTTACATCGGGAACCTCCGGCATATGCTGCGCTGGTAGCAACTAATAATTTAAAAACTTTGGTGGATTTGAATAGTTTATCCTTAGAGCAGTCTATTGGTCTACTCAATTCTTCTGTGCGGATACTTAAAGTGGATGATTTTTTCGAGAAAAAAATAAAAATTAATCATTATATACGGTCCCTGCTTATTACATTGAAATCGCTAAAATTTTCATTTAAACTAAGCTTCAACAGCTTTAAAAAAAAGCTTAATAGAGTAAAAATTATAAGTGATACACATAAAAACGAGAGGTAACGTTGTGAGTCGCTGAAAAATTTGGGGCGAAATTTAGCTATACACTTTTTATGACTCTAAACACCAAATTTTGTTGAGAACTCTGAGAACTAGGCGCTCATCGAGACGGACAGACAGACATGGCTAAAGCGACCTAGCTATTTACTTTATATGGTCGGAAACTTTTCCTTCTGTGAGTTACGCATATCTATTTCCATTATTCCATTATTCCAGATCAAATCGCTGGAGAACTGCATTTATACAAATCCGTTGACAGCGTAACCAACGAGGATGAAGCCACCATCCAACGGAATTTTTGAACTTGCTTGATAACTCCATCGCATAATTTATTGCTAAAGATGGGACTGATCATAATCATATTGCGGTATCTGAATCATCCGAAATTGTGCGACGGTACGCGGTTTTCCGTCAATAAAATTATGAACAATGTGATTCAAACGATGATCATTAAGGGTAAGTTACAGGATCCAACTGATCTTCCATTCCAATGGTGAGAATTCATTTCCTCGTACGATTGACTTTTGCGATGAATCGATAAATAGCAAAACTAATCGTTGGAGTTTCTGTGAGATTAATCTCGAATTTTCCTGTTTTGCGCAAGATCAGCTGTACGTTGCATGTTAGCGTGTTGGCAAACCGTCTTTGTTGTTTTTTTTTTGCGCCGGAAAACAAATCGAATAACATTGTTTATCATATTGCTCTCAACTGCTCTCAACACTCAACCCATTTAAATAAATTATATTGAAATTTTAACTATCTGTGTTTTACTATGTGTCGTGAGTTTATTTAGAGTCGTTAAATTAGGGCGAGAAAAAGTTTGCCCGGTCCGCTAGTATTTAATATTTTCAACAAAATCAATTGTGCTTTCAACAACCTTTCAGACTGGTTAAGAAAATCCACCCCTTTTTTCTGGCATCAAACTGACTTTTTCTGATAGACTTGAGGCTTCAAACTTGTTAATGAATTTCTCGATTATATATATCGCGTTCCCTACATTTTTCCTGTGAACAGATTCTTTACCTCGTATCGTTCCATACATCTGCATCATATTCACTAACCCGAATCGTCATATTCCGGTAGAGCGCAGCGATCAGCCTACTACTTTTGGCTCTTTAATCCTAGCCTTATATTTGAACAAAAGGGACCATTCTAACTATTACAGCTTCCAGCAACCGAACCTCTACCACGGCCAAAAAGCCAGCAACGTGAAATAAAATTAATTTCTTCATTCTAGCTATAATAGCGATCCGATCTGATCTAGATTTGGCATTGTGGTAGGTATGGTAAATCTCTACGATACTGCGTTTTTAGTTTTCTCGTATTTTAAAAATTGCGGTCCGATTTGCTCGAAATAAAATGACATGAAGATAAAAATAGTGTCACCGTACAACGCATCATTTGAACAAAGCTTTGGTCAAAGCTAAAAACACAAAGGGGAGGGGTGCTGGTCTGCATTGGGAAACATTGAGCATTTAGGAGCAGCTAATGCAAAATATATTTATCGAATTCCAAGAATTTAAATGCTCTAGTCAGCACTACGTTCTCTTTCGTAGTGACCAGACGTGTTTTTGTTTTGCTCTACTCATTTTCCTTTTATTTTAATTAAACAGCCGGTGTTTTATATTCAAATTTACTCTCTAACTACTTATCTTAAAATCAATCCTTAACCTCGAGTGCATGCCTAATAATTTTGTAAAACACAACTTATTTAATTGTGTTGTTGCTTTTCGTAATTACGCCCTCTCATTACATTTAGCCGCTCTTTGTCCTAGCTATTGCCGCTTATCACACTCTCTCTATCACGCTTTAAGCATCGCTCTAAGGATTTGCTCTGCACATTGGTCTGATTGCTATTTGTTTTGAACTTTTTTTTCTCGAAAAAAAATTAAAAGACATAAGTCTTGTGGTCGGCAACTTAAAGTCCTGCCCGGTCTACCCAACCACTTATTGTTTTGATAGCTTCGTTCATCGCATCATATCATTATGGATTTTGCTGTCGTCTGTGCCAAAAAATCAGCAGAAGCAGATCACACATGACCAGCCCAACATCCCTTGCTGGCTTTGCGGAAGCGTAGTGCACGCAAAATGTGTAGGGATCTGGGACCGTGTAGGAGATGCCATTTCCCGAAATAACGGCCTGCATTATAGTTGTGAGGAATGCCGTGCTGTGGAAAACGACATGCGTTTGTTCATGGGGCAGACGCGGAGTGGCTTCAAAGAGCTGATAGTAGGCTTTAAACAGCAATATTATCGGCTCTTGGCCATAGACACTCAGTTCAGCAGTTTACAGCTGCTGGCTGAGTCTCCGAGGTG